CCCCCCTCCCCGCGCCAGGGAGTGCAGCAGCACCGGGACGTCGACGGCCACCTCGGCGCCGCCGCTCAGCTCGAGGGTCCCCTTCCCCGCGGGGTGGAGGCCACCGAAGGAGGGGGGTCTGGGAGGAGAGAGGGATCCGGACCAACAGCGCCCCTTTAAGTTCCTGTGCGCCCCCCGCCCCCTTCAGATCCGATGGGGTCGGGGGGAGAGGGGGGGGATCAGCAGGGATCAGCAGCGCGGAGTGCAGCAGCGGTGCGAACAGGCGGGAGAAAGGGAGAGAACTACCCGCGGTGTCGGTGGAGATCAGCGGTGGGAGCGAGAAGGGGAAGAACTACCCGGTGGGGATCGGGATCAGAGAGGAGCGGTGGCGCAGGGTGCGGCAGCAGCGCGAACAGGGGAGGGAAGGGAGAAAACTACCCGCCGCAGTGGCGGGGATAGGGATCAGAGGGGATCAGCTGCGCGAACGGGGAAAGGAGGAGGAATCTCTGCCGGCGGGACTCGAGACTCGGCGCCCCGGGACTCACCCGCTCGCTGAGCTGCGACAGCCGGCGCGTCAGCTGTTCCACCTCGCTCTGCAGCTGGCTGAACTGGCCGCAGGTGGGACAGCTGGTGTCCAGCTGCGGGCACTGGTGGAGGTACCCGTGTGGCCCGGGGATGATGCGCACGTCCTGGAGCGCACCCTGGAAAGGAAAAGGAAAGCATAAAGTCATATCCCTCACAAGAGCTTTTCTTTTAAATGGCAAACAAAAATTGTGTCCCGCCTGGCCGGCGCCCTGGCGGTGGCTACGGTCCGTGTGCGTGACTGCTTGAGCCGTTGGCTATTGACTCGGCGACGGTGATGGGCAGGTCCCGGGTCCCGCCCAAGCGCTCCGTTAGTCAGGCCGCAGGCTGCTCCCGGTGCTTTATTGATACCCCGCCCCACCCCGCCCCACCCAACCCCACCAGGGCCGAATGAATGAATGAAGTCTGTCGCCATGCGGGGCGCCCCGGCGATTACCGCTATTTGCACAGGGCTATCGTCACAGCTCAGAACCGCCCCTGACCCCTCCCCCCTCCCCTCTTCCATTTGCGTTTAACTGATTCAGTCACAAACAATTCTTGTCTCTGTTTATTTAATTGTTATTACAGGGAGCCGTATATGTACCATTAGGTCACAATGATCATTCCCTGAAGTCACGACGCGTCTTGTCCGTTTCTCCTCCCCCCATCTACCCTTATTCCTTTTGGGTCGCACAGCGCGGAACTCGGTGGCCGTGCCCGCCCCTCTCCCCTCCCTTTGGGTTTATCTGAGCCGCCTGATCGCTGACGTCGCCGAATCAATGACGCCCACGCGGACGTCAAAAGAACCACTAATGGCATCACGGCGATGCTTAACTGAATTCCCCCTCCCTCCTCCTCTTCCTCCCCGCTTCCATATCCCCTCCGTCTTTCACTCAAAGAACACTCCGCACACGTAAATTTATCATATTTCCGCCGTAATGAAAAGAGTGGCGGGCGCGTTTGCAAAGAGAGAGAAGGCGAGGGAGGGGGAGAGAGGGAGAGAGAGAAGGTCTGACGTTTCGCGCGGTGTAGGAAGCTGTCACGGTGCCCTCGGGGGTGCTTTTAATGTCCAGCTGATGAATTGTTTCCAGCGCCCCGCCTCGCCCCGCCCCACCGCGCCCCGCTGCGCCACGCCCCAACGACCTCGCAGGTATCGAATAGTGCGTGGGCGTGCTTACACTAGAAGGGCCCGCCGCCCCCGCCTACGCCATACCTGCACGCGCCCGCGGTCGGGGCCCCGTGCGCTTCCTTGAGCAAAGAGCAAAGCACTCAGGGAAAGTAGGACGTCGGTAAACGCTTTGTGACGCGCGGGGGTGCAAAGTATATTAAAGTCCGACGTTTTTGTTCTCCAGCTTGACAGGGTGCTGATTTCCATTGTCGTCGAGTCTAATTGTCCGGCTCGGGTCGAGCCGGTGCGGGTGCGAGTGAGAGGGGAGGGTGCGTGCGCGCGGCCAGGGGCCGATGTCTTCATCAAGCCGAAACGGGCCGACTCGATAAAAGGGCTGCGGGCGAGCGACACCCCCGCACAGCACTGGTGAAAAGTGAAGAGGGCGCAAGTCCGATGGGAAGTCCCGCGAGGACTTGCGCCCTTTTCACTTTTCACCAGTGACATGTGCCTTCGACCCTGTTGTGCACGTGCGCACATGCTGGCGGGGATACAAGTATTACGGCTCCTCGTTAGGCTCACTGATTGCCATTATGGTGACCCATGATATTTGAACCCCGCGCGGTACAAATATTTAACCAACCCTATAAAGCATTCAGTGTATAGTATGTTCACGACCCCTCGACATGATCAGGACCGCCGTCCTGCCCCACGAGAGCGAAGTCAAAGTTACGTCGCTGCGTAAAGAAACGCACCACCACCACACCTAAAACAACTTAACCTTGGTTTCACGTCAAAATTGCTTTCGTTGTTCAACAGGAAAATTTGACTTTGAAAGAGCTGATTTCAGTTAGTTTGAGAGAATTCCTTTAAATCAACAGAATTTAGCTTTACAGCTGTAGCTGCAAGTCAAAAGTTTTTGGGGACAACGGGAGCACTTTTAGACGTGAAATCAAAGGTACGAGTTTCTAGGTGCACCGCTTTTTGAACTCACCTTGAAGAGGGAGTGCTTGTTGTTGCGCTGGCCCACCCACAGCTGCAGCTGCGGCCGGCTGAAGGAGGTGTCGGGCGGCGCGAGCAGCAGCCGCCGGTACAGCGGGTGGCAGTCGACGAGCAGCTGCAGCTGCGCGCCCGAGACGGACAGGGCGAGCGAGTGCCACGCGCCGTCCGCCAGCCGGTAGGGGAACGTCTCGACGTGCACGGGGCCGCCCCCGGCCGCCGCCGCGCCGCCCCCGGGGGTGGCCCCGCCAGCGGAGCCCGCCCCCTCGCCAGCACCGTCCACGTCCGGCATGGAGTAGTGCAGGCGGATTTCGTCCTTGCGACCGCTGGACTGCAGTTCCAGGTACCTGCGGCAAAGGTGGGAGTTCAGATAAGTGGACGCTCTCGAGCCCGCAGTTTGAGCTCCGTCCTCCGCGTGGCGAGCGCTCACCTATTGAAGCCGTGCGAGAAGGAGATGATGGTGCCCGAGTTGGCCTCCTCCTGGCGAAGCAGCGCGGCCAGGGTGAACTCGGTGTTGTCCCTGAGCAGCTGCACCGCCTTCTGGTACTCGTTCGGCGGCAGCCTCAGGTCGCGGTAGTCTCCTGGAAGACACCCGACACCCAAGTGCGTAAGTCACAGGAGCCAACCGGAGCCATGCGGCGGTGTCTGATTCGCTCCGCGGCCTCTTCCGCAGCTAGACTGTACCGCTTGTCACGCGTGCGAGCGTGTTGCCTACTCCGGGCCGTAAGGCGCCATGGTCAGAGACGTCTTCGTGCGGTACAGTCTAACTACAAAGCGGGGCGGGGTGAATCGGCCACCTGACCATATGGTTCCCAACAACACTTCCGAAGGTTCCAGGAAAAAATGTTGGGTTTGCAGGGTATATCACGGTGAAAACTTACCCTGCAGGTAGTACGCGGGTCGGTGGCGCTGCGGCCCGCTGGCCAGGCTCACTCCAGGGCGACTGGTATTGCGGAGCTGGAGCGACTCCAGGAGGTCAATGGCTGCGAACTCGGAAGCCAAAGCTGCAACAAAGACACGGAATACCGAGGTTAGCACAACATTACAGTACACACAGCGAGACAGTCCAAGTGAGAAGCAGGAAAACACTCAGGAAATTATCCCCACTCCCCCCTTCTCTCTCTCTCTCTCTCGCTCTCGCAAACGGCTCCCCTAGGGGCGTATCAACACTGACACGAGCCCGGCACCCGGGTGGCTGCCGCCAGAGGCATTCCGTAAGGGAGGCTGCGCGGGGCGCGGGTACACACAGATACAAGAACACACACACACACACACACACACTCAGAGTCCCTCGCGCGCATCGGGACACGCACATTCTATTTGCCTAATACGCCGTTCTGCGTTTCGCGAAACAGTTCCTACCGCGAATAAAACTCTGTGTGGGGCGAGCCTGTGCTGGGAGGGAGGGTCCCCGACGAGGTCCCCGCACCCTCCACCCCTTCGGCGCGCGCCCCAGACGAAAACATAAATAAAGACACGTGATTGGGCCCCGGCAGCATCCGTCTCTCTCCCACCAACACACACACGCACACACGGCGGCGCTTCCGCCGGGAGGCTCTACGTGACGAAAACAAAACGCACCCCACCACTCTCTCCCTCGCACTCTTACTCTCTCACTCTCTCGCTCTCGCTCTCTCTGAGGAAATAAGAGCTTTTCGCGCGGGTGCCGCTCATATTGAGAGCCGTAAATCTGTGCCGCTCATGAGCGCCCCTGTCTGTCCCTTGCACGCGGGCGGCGGCGCCCCGCCCGGGAGATGAGATCTCTACATGTATTTACCCTCGACGGGGAGGTTCTCCGTGGCGGCGGCCGTATCCCTCCGCGGGGGCCGCGTGTAGCGATTAGCGCAACCACGTGACTTGGGGGTACGAATTGTATGGGGTCCCAAAAGGTTCAGGATGGCCACTGGAGTCGCATAGAGAGTACCCCATGATATTTTTACCCCGGGGTAAAAATATCATGGGGTCTCTGTAGACTCCAAAAACCGCTGGGGCCCCATAAATATCTGTCCCCCCCCAAAAAAGTCACGTGGTTTGTGCACGATTCCTTATTAACAGCGACTTGCTAGTCGCGCCGCCGCAGAGCCGCTCGCTGCGCCGTTCTGTTCTACGGCCGCGTCCCGCGGCACTCAAACGGACGCATGGGTAAAAGGTCTCGCGAGATACTCGTATGGAGCAAAAGCCTGCTTGCCTGTCTGCAAAAAAGGGACGACACGGCCGAAAGGTAGTATGGGGTCTCTGCCCTTTCACTGTCCGTGACATTTAGACGTGGGGCAGAAGGAAAAGCAAGACAGCTGCAGTATATGAAATTATACAGCACATGAATACCGATGAACTCATATCATTGTACTCTTTTTCTTCAGTACCCTCGCTTCCTCCACCGCCCCCCCCGCCTCCTTCTCTCCCATCCCCCTGGTCAGCGTTGGCAGATTCGGTTAAGGGTGGTCGTGTTGACCCATCCGTCAGCAGAGAGCGATACGTACGACGTCTGTCATCGGCCGCGGAAGGCGAGAGTGTGCGGGAGGGCGGTGGTGGAGGGCGCAGGAGTGGCTCCGAGTCCCGTCCCGAGGAGTCCCTCTGGATCTGATCCGCCACTCCATGTCGGCTGTACGCGAGGCGCATTCATGAGCCCAATAATGAAGCCATTTTACGCCGCCCGAGGGCCGAGGGGTGGGGCGGGATGTGGCGGGGCGGGGCGTGGCCTAGATGAGGGGTGTGCGTCTCTCTCGCCCTTTTCCCTCCACTCCGCGCGCGTTTCCAGACTACTTTGTCGCTTTGAAGACCTCTATTAATAATTTATGGACGACTTTATTTGCCAAATGTTAAACATTACGAAACAGAGATACGTTAATCCAACTTCCTGTTAGGGTCATTTTCTTAGCTCGGCTTGGACCGGTCCAATAATCCGTAACCCATTTATGCCTGCTCTTTGTATTTCATAGTTGGGTGCGACTTTCAACTTTACTCTTTATGAAACCCACGATTAAAAGCAATAACAATTATTTATGTTTATTACTTGAAATGCATATTTGTTAAAGTGTATTAATACCCTTTCGATCCCACCCCTGGGCCAATTTTTCCAACACTTTGCCGCCCCAAATACTCTCTTCTCCCCGCTAAGACGAATTATCTCTCATACATGAACGACCCGGGCTGGGCAGGGTGTCCCATTGGGGAGAGAGCGCTCCCGAAGGGCTCCCGAAGGGCTCCCGAAGGGTCTCCCGAAGGGTCTCCTTAAGAGGCGCCAAACGTGAATAACACGATTATTGTTTTCCATCGGCATTGGCCCAGGGCGGGGGCGGATATGGGGTGACGGCCACTGCTGCTCCCTTCGCGCACGACCCTCCAAAAAGAAAAAGAAAAGGGAGGGACGTTTGATTTCTCATTTTCAACAGGGTAGGGCGGCATTAGCCGAAGGGAGGGAGAGGGAAGGCGAGGGCCCAAAGGGGAGAAGTAATCAGCCCTGATTAATTGACCATCAATTGTTTGGCCCGTTCCATGCGAGGGCAGTGCAATAAAAGTATAAAGAAATACGCGAGGAAATGCGACTCTACAATACTGCATATTGAATGTACAGGAGCATCGGTCCTTTAGTCATTGATAATTCCTAAATACCCTCGTTGTTGGTTTCTTTTTCACCTCCCAAAGGCTTGCTCCATTCGTGTTTGCTTCGACCATTACCTCGGCCCCAAGATAACCGCTTCAGAACAAGTGGAGAGGGCCCGCGCGGCGCGGCGTGGTGGGGCGTGGCGGGGCGTGGTGTGGCGATATGACAGGTGGGAAAGGCAAACACAACTGGAAAGGGGTCCGACAGAATGGCTTGTCAACAAGGGGTTTATGCTTCGGGCTTGTCACATTTATAGTGAGAATGGAAACCAATAGCTCACCGCCCCGAGCTCGAGCTCTGCCCCGCACCGCCGCAGCTGGGGCAGGAGGCACATCGTCAAACCCATACAGCTGTAATGTCTATATTTTTGACAATGTTAACAGTGTCGGACTCAGAAGCGGGTAAAATCAGCTGAGGAGTGGACTAGCGGAGCGGGAGGAGGGGCGCGGCGGGGGCGGTCTGGGAAATTGACCCCTGTGTCGTGAGATAGCCATCAGTCTGGCTTTAGGCGAGGGTCAGACCGAACGCGACATGCGTCGTTTTTCCCTCGCTCAGTGTTTTTTTCCCTCCCCATTTTCCCTCTGTTATTTTTTTCAGACGTTTGTACCCGACAAGGTCACCAGCATTTTTGGTGTGACGCGCTGTGTAACGGTGTGGCGATGCTATAAATACACCTCGCCGGCCCGCTTAGCGGACCGCTTAGCGGAATGCGCTGCGGACGTAATCTGAAATAAGTTTTATTCCTTTCGGCCGGCGGTACTACGAGGACTGCAGCGCTCGCTCCAGCTCGGGCCAGGCCCAGCCGCTCCCAGGGAATGAGGTCGAAGTTGGACTCGCCCAAAGAGTACAGTCGCCTGTGAGTCCTTGGCCGCCGCGGCGCCCGGGCCCGGCCTAGCCCGGCACCCAGCCAGCTGCACGTACAGCTGGTGCCAGTTGCCGGGCCGCGGCCGGGGCGCAGCTGGCTGGAGAGCACTGAGGCCGCGCTGCGCGAGTAGTTACGCCCTGCACAGCATGGCCAGGTGTGCACGCGTCCCAGCTGCTGCAGCCGCCGCCATCACAGGTGTTGTTGGTATGGCGGCCGCAGCTGCGGAGCTCACCCGCCGCGTCAGGCTGATGATTCATCGGGAATGATGATGAGGGAGGAGGCCTCGTCCGGCGCGGCTCTGATAAGCCTGGGAGGGGAGCGAGATATATCGAGCCGCTAAGAGATTTACTGTCCGGGCGAGCAAGGACTCGGCCGGAACTACATCACTTTCAGGGGAACGCCGCACTGTGCTGGAGGTGAGGTGGGAGATGGGATGTAGGGGCGGTGGGCGTACATTGGAAAATCAAGTACACTAGGTAATAATGCACATCAAGAGATGACAGAAACATTCATGCTAAACACCAAACACCACGGCACGGACGTGGAAAAACACACACATTGCTCCCCCGCCCCTCCCCCAAAAAATAAAGAAAAAAATATAGGAAAATCCAAGCGCTTGTCGATACCCTGTGCTAAAGGGAAAATAGCAAGGGAGGAGGAGGGGGGCACTTTGCCTCCCGGTAGGGGGACTGTCTAAAAAGAAATCCTCTGGGGCACTTTAAAAGTTGACTCTCAAGGCGACTTTTTGATAACGAAAGCTCCCCATCGAATTTTTCGTCGGTCGATTAAACCATTACTTCCGCCTCCCCCCTTTCTTTCCTGGTGGGGCCGCGGGGCGCCCTGCTAGGTAATCGAAACTGCTATTGAGTAGAGATGAGCGAACAGGCTAGTTCGAATTTGAACGAACTCGAACAAAATTGGCCTAAAAATCTTCGAACGAACACGAACACGAACAACCATTTTTTTCTTCGAACGAACCGAACCGAACAACCCCTTGTTCACCTGCGAACCGAACACGAACAATGATTTTAAATCTCTCTGTGTATACGATGACAGCGACAGCTAGTCAGCTGATCAGAGAAGAGGGGGGGAATTTT